TCCTGAACCTCTAGACAGATACAGTCACCCACAGCAATCATGCAGGTGAAAACAGCAGACACAATTAAGTTGAGAATCCAAAGGCCTTGGATTCCATGGTCTTTGCAAGCAACAAATTTATGCTTGACTTTTAGGTTCTGAAGGACATATAATTGAGATTAGAATGCATCTGAGAGAATTGCCTGCATTACAGAAGGCAGTGATTGTGATTTCCCATAGTGATATTTCCTATTGATTATACTTGGCAAAATCCCACCAACCGTCAATCTGTGAATATAGACTGATTTTAAGATTATCATTACTTGTACTTTTAAATTTTTTAAGAAATAAAATACTTGGGAATCAACAAAAGAGATGAAAGATCTATATAATGAAAATTACAGAACCATAAAGAAAGAAATCAAAGAAGTCCTTAGAAGATGGAAAGATCTACCTTGCTGTTGGATAGGCAGCATTAATATTGTCAAAATCACCATACTACTAAAAGCACTTTACAGATTTAATGCAATTCCAATCAAAATTCCAATGACATTTCTCATTTAAATAGAAAAAGTCATCATGAAACTCATCTGGAAAAATAAGAGACCCAGAACAGCTAAAGCAATCCTTACCAGGAAGAGTGAAGCAGGTGGCATCACTATATCAGACCTTAAACTATACTACAGAGCAATAGTAACAAAAACAGCATGGTATTTGGCACCACAACAGACTGGTAGACCAATGGTATAGAATAAAGGACACAGAGACTAACCCACAAAATTAAAATTATCTTATATTAGACAACGGCGTCAAAAACATACACTGGAGAAAAGATGGTGCTGCGAAAACTGGAAATCCATATGCAACAAAATGAAATTAAACTCCTATCTCTCACCATGTACAAAACTCAACTCAGAATGGATCAAGGACCTAGGAATAAAAACAGAAGAAAAAGTAGGCCTAATCTTCATCATGTGGGATTAGGCCCCAACTTCCTTAATAAGATTGGCACAAGAATTAAAATCAAGAATCAATAAATGGGATGGACTCAAACTAAAACGTTTCTTCTCAGCAAAAGAAACAATCTGTGAGGTGAATAGAGAGCCTACATCTTGGGAGCAAATTTTTACCCCTCACACATCAGATAGAGCACTAATCTCTAGGGTATATAAAGATATATAATCTCTAGGGTATATATAGGTGACTCTATGACCAGTGTGATTTTGCAATCTGTACAATTAGAAAAATGAGAAATTATACCCCAGTGATACAAATGTATGAATTGCCAAGATCATTGTAATGTCATGTGTAGATAATAATAATAATAATATAAAAAAGCTAAACACACACACAAAAAAAAACCCACAAGTAACCCAATCAATAAATGAGTCAAGGACCTGAACAGACACTTCTCAGAAGATGATATACAATCAGTCAACAAATATATGAAAAAATTCTCATCATTTCTAGCAGTTAGAGAAATGCAAATCAAAACTTTTCTAAAATATCATCTCACTCTAGTCAGAATGGCAGCTGTTAGAATACAAGCAACAATAAGTGTTGGTGAGGATGTAGGGGAAAAAGGCACACTCATACACTGCTGGTGGAGCTACAAATTAGTGCAGCCAATATGGAAAGCAGTATGGAGATTTCTTGGAAAATTGGGAATGGAACTACCATTTGACCCAGCTATCCCTCTYCTCAGTCTATACCCAAAGGACTTAAAAACAGCATACTACAGGGACACAGCCGTATCAATGTTTATTGCAGCACAGTTCACAATAGCTAGACTGTGGAACCAACCTAGATGCCCTTCAATAGATGAATGGATAAAAAAAATGAAATATTACTCAGCAATAAAAGAGAATAAATTCATAGCACTTGCAGGTAAATGGATGGAGTTAGAGAAGATAATGCTAAGTGAAGTTAGCCAATCCCAAAAAACTAATGTTTTCTCTGACATAAGGAGGCTGATTCATAGTCGGGTAGGGAGGAGGAGCATGGGAGGAATAGATGAACTCTAGAGAGGGCAGAGGGGTGGGGGAGGCAGGGGGTTAGAAATGATGGTGGAATGTGAAGGACATTATTATCCAAAGTACATGTATGAAGACACGAATTGGTAAGAATATACTTTATACACAATCAGAGATATGAAAAATTGTGTTCTAAATGTGTAATAAGAATTGTAATGTATTCTGCTGTCATATATAAATTAAAAAAATAATAAATCAAAAAAAAATTTTTTGTAGTTGTAGTTGTAGATGGACAGAATGCCTTTGTTTTATTTGTCAATTTTTATGTGGTGCTGAGGATCGAACCTAGTGCCTCATGCATGCTAGGCAAGTGCTCTGCCACTAAGCCACAGCCCGAGCCCCATGACTTTTACTTTTAAAATTTTTATGATGTTGATACATCTTTATTGAATACTTTAATTTGGAATATTTAGTAGTTTTGGTGGGAAACTACCATTAATTAGGCTGTAAATATAATTTATTTTGGGTAATAAATTGAATTCAATGAAAATGCTCCCTAATCTTTGTTATATAGCATTTTCTTATGTTTTGTTTTTCAACCCAGAAATTGTGTCAAAAGCCTTGGTAGACAACTTGGGCCAGATGTTGCATGTTTTTGTCCTCATACTGTGTTTTACAGTTTTTTTAAGCATTGGCTTTTTTGTTTAAGCAAAATATTGGTTCAGCGTTTCCCAGTGGTGATCTGTTTGCCCACAGAGACTGGAACTATGCTTTTCCTTTGGGATTGTTATCTGGCTTTGTATTGCATCCTTCTGCACTAGGCAGCTGGTTGGCCACAGGTGTTGCTTGGAATTGCTGGACCATTATATTTTTATAATTTCCTGCATGCACAGGCCCATGTATTGTGCACATGGAGGAAGTTGTAACATAGATATGATTTCAGCTAGATGCTGCCATTCTGGCAAGTCTTTTAAGCTCTAAGCTTCTCTGCCCTCCTCCTTTGCAAAACCAATGCCTTTTTACAGTTTTATCTTAGAATTTTTTCTAATTCATGAAAATTTTTATTCAGTGATGTCTTTAAATAAAGTATACTTTATCTGCTTTTAATTTCCTCTAGAGATTATCACTGTCATTTGAAATGAGACATTTTCTTATTTTGTTAATATATTTTTTTTTAGTTATAGGTGGAAACAATATCTTTATTTTATTTTTATGTGGTGCTGAGGATTGAACCCAGTGCCTCACGTGTGCTAGGTGAGCACTCTGCCTCTGAGCCACAATCCCTGCCCCTGGGACATTTTCTTCTTTGCCATTTAAAGGAAATATACATGACTTTTATGGTGTGGAATTTTGAACTTTCCTTTTGATATACTTTTGAGAACTATAGTACATTTTTTAAAATATTGCACAGACCACCTGTCTCTTCCCCATGACCAAGGTGTGCTCTCCAGCTTGGGTGATCACATTTCATGTGGGTTGTTCAACATGAAGCCTTTCTGTCCTGGACTCTGCTCAGCCTCCGTAGATTGTATGGGAAACCACACTTTGGCAAGGTTCTATATGCTAATAATGATTTCATAGAATATTTTTAATAGTATGTGGGCACTCTCTTGTTGCCAGGACCTCATCAGTTCTGAGTGCTTAAGTGATCGTTATCATTAAATTCACATTTTACACCTAACCAGAGGTTTTTTTGCTCCAACTGAAAGGAACCTTCTTATTCATCAGGATCCACTGAGCTGTAGAGATTCAGATTATTAGCCTTTCTGTTCATGATTTTCGTGCTTACCTGCTTCCCTCACTGAGCAGTTTGTGTTTTAATAGATGATACAAGAAGCCACTGGAAGTTGTGTTATCAGGGTGCAAAGAGCCCTTTTGTTTTTTAAACCCACATTGTATTCTTTACAGCTGAAACACATGTTGAAGGAATTACTTCTAACACATTCTCTGAGTAGATGATGAAATTAGGAAGACTGATGTGTTTAAGTGGAGTGTTCTTGTGTAGAACCAAGGAAACCCCTCTACTTTCCCTGGGAGCCACTCTCATTTTCTCTCTTGGGACTTCATTTTGCTGATCATTACCTATCCACTCCGTTGTGCACATGGAGACACCTGTATGAGGCGCTCTGACTTCTGCCACAGAATTTGTGGTGATTCCGAAGCTACTTTTTTTTTTTTAAGTTTCTAAATTTAATGAGGTTAAAAAGGAACTCCTTTTATCAGCCTTTCCTCTTTCACCTTTTCCAGTATACTGTTTTGAGGTCTTAGCTGTTTATAAACCACAATTTAGTTAATGTGTAAAGACGTATTCATTAGGATAGTTCCATCCCACCTCCAGTTAAAGCAGAATGTAAACTAAAATAAAGTGAAGAATTTCCACATACATGGTAGAACCATGTGACCTTTATAAAATTGTTCCTTGATTATGATTGCCAGGCTGATTAATTTAAAGGAGAAAAACATATGGTGGGAGAGGGTGGTGCCCATCAGAACCCTGTTGGTCTCCTCAGAGGTGGTCTGCCTTATGCCTGACTCTAGAAACTGTGTGGCCTTCATGCAGACTGACCAGCCTAGAAGGTACCTAGTTCCCAGAGCCAAACCCCACTCTGTGGTGGTTCAAGAGCTGCACTATAGGAGAAATTCAACAGAAGATGAAAGATCAGAGTCTATGCACAGCAGGTGCACATCTTTGTGCGTTTAACCTGGGGTAGGCCTGGCCTCCCTGATGGCCTGTGGGGTGTGCCCTGTAGGGCACCAACAGGCAGCAAAGTGGATGTCTTCTGAAGGGCAAGGAATGGAGGTCATTTCCAGAGTATGTCTCGGTGGTGGCTTGAGAGTCTGTGTTTAGGTCATTTCCAGAGTATGTCTCAGTGGTGGCTTGAGAGTCTGGACACTAGGTGTTCCCTAGTGTCCAGTGACCAGTGTGGGGAGCCAATTGCTTGACTCTCAAGTGGTGAGGATTTCTTTTTATTTCAAATGAAAGCCCTGTTTGATTTAAATAAACATAGTAAAGCATTTATTTATTTTATTATTTGCTTGCCTTTATAGTGTTTGTTGAAAAGGTGCTGAAGAGACTTTTTCCTAATGTTCCCAGTGGCCAAGAAAAGGAAACACCCCAGCTTTTGCCCTTGGAAACACCATTCAGGAAGACAATCTCTGAGAAAGTGGAACACAAGCGTATTCATCATTTGACAGGTGAGATTGTCTGTAAGTAAGGATGGTTTAGATACTCAGGTTTTCCTCAGTGATTTGTATTTACACTGGAAAATGTATCCTCTTAGCCTCAGGCTTCTCTTTGGTGATCAAGTTTTGCAAAAGTCTTGACAGCAGTGGTCAATGGGACAGGAATCCTTCTACACACACTCTGATGTGTTCAGAATCAACTTGTAAAGGAAAGCCAGTATTAGCACTCCCTAGCCACACACTAAGCTACCGCGTCTTGAGTTCATTTGCATGTTCTTTTCTGGATGAAGAGATTAGACTGTAGGAGGTTTGGGCTCAACCAGAATGAGAAAGTAGCCTCTATCTCTGTCATCTATCCTCAGTGGTTGTACTGACCCCTGATGACCTTGGTACCATTTGGCTTCTGCCCATTTGGGAATGGTGCTTGATGTTCCTTGAATATTGGTCTTTAGCATATGTTTGTACCACTGACAGCCCTACCCAAGATCACTTGGTCAGTAGGAGTGTCTACAATGAGAGTACTACCAACTTTGGTTTCCTAGCAATGCAGCTATGTTAACTTAATGGGAAACTACTGTATGAGAGTCAAATGAATAGACCACATGAAATACAAACACATATGGGTAGAGCTGCTTTTTTTCCCAATAAATATATGAATGTATAGGTGTTAGTCCAAACCAAACTGCGTTCCTGAATTTCCGTTTTAAGGATCAGTTCCCTATCTCTTTAGTAATAGTTTCTCACTAGGTATTTGTCATTCACATGATTCTGTTGCTGAAAGCTGATTGATCTGTTAGTTCAGCTAAAGAACCTTGAGAAAAGAAATTTAATTCCCAGTGTTTATATCATATAACACTCCCTCAGTTGAATCTCGACAGGCAGGCCCAGCAGTCCCACAGTCAGACTCCTGCGCCACAGGTCAGACTCCAACTTCCTTGGAACACATTTTTCCAGGGAAATAACATTATGCATTGTGATTAGATTTCCAGGTAAGCTCAGTAAACCTGTTTAATTTACAATATAATGAATGCCTATGGTACCATTCTGGCTTGGGGTACCAGTTGATAGAAGACAGATGAGAAGGAAGACATTTTCTTCTTAGAGATATGAGACTGTACTGACATATTTGTCCTATAGAACCTATATATCCCCCGTTCCCTTTCTGTATTTTTCTCATATGACTTGATGTTTTAAAAATCTTATGAACTCTTAAGGTTCTTTGAATTAAGGAGTAAATGACTGCCATTGAATGTATTTTTTACTTTTCAATGAATATTCCTCTTATAGGCAGAATCACTTTCTCTGAAAACACATGTTTTGAAGTTCTTATCCACAGTACTTTAGAATATGACTATATTTGGAGAGGGGGAAGTCTTTTTAAAAAGATAGTTAAGGTCAAGTGACGTTATTAGGATGGACTAAATCAATATGACTGGTGTCCTTACAAGAAGAGGAGATTAGGAAATAGACACACATGGGGGAAGACTATGGAATGACCCAAGAAGATAACCACCTGGAAGCTAATGAGAGGCCAGGAACACATTTTCTTTCAGCCCCAAGAAGGAACCAACATAGAGCTTATTCTTGGACTTCTGGCTCTTTGAAGTGTGAGATGATGAATCTCTGTCATTTAACTCACCCAGTCTGTGGTACTTTGTAATGGCAGTCTTAGAAAACTAACGCATATCTATTTTACTAGTTTTTAAAAATCAGAATAAAAACAGAGTTTAAAAGGCAGGTAATGAAAATCTGAAAGAATCAACAAACTTCTGGAACTAATAAGTCACTAAAGAGGATTGCAGGATATAAGAATAATATATAAAAATCACTTCCCTGTATACCTGCAATGAACAAGTGGAATTTGAAATTAAAAACACAATACCATTTACAGTAGCACTCCCAAAAAATATTTAGGTGTAAAACTAACAAAATTTATATAACTTCTATATGAAGAAAACTACAGAATTCTGATGAAAGAAGTCAACAAAGAACTATATAAGTTAACTGATAGTCCAAGTTTATGCATAGAAAGATTCAATAGCATTGAAATGTCAGTTATTCCTAATTTGATTTCTGAATTCAATGGAATCTCAGTCAGAATACCAGCATTTTGTGGATATTGATAAACTTTCTAAAAAATTATTGGAAAAGCAAAACACTGAGAATAGTCAACACCGTATTGAAAGGGAAGAACAAAGTAAGAGGTCTGACACTACTGACTTCAAGACTTTCTGTAAAACTACATTAATCAAGGTAGTTTAATATTAGGGGGAAAATATAAATAGATCAATGGAAAAGATTAGGTAGCAATAAGATATATGCACACAAATATAGTTGACCAATCTTGGACAAAGAAACAAAGGCAATTTGTTRGGTAAAGGACAGATTTTTCAACAATTGGTGCTGTAACAGCTGGACATCCACATGTAAAATATAGATAGACAGACACAGACCTTACACGCCCGTATTGGCACAAAATAAGTTATATACGTAAGGGTGAAATGCAAACCAATAAGAGGATAATAGAGAAGAAAATCTTGGGAATCTTGGTATAGTGATGACATTTTTATTATGAGCATGATTGATGAAAAAGAATTGATAAGTTTGGATTTCATTAAAATTAAAAACCTCTGATCTGTAAAATACACTATAAAGAGAATGAAAAAACAAGTATTAGAGTTTGAATTTTGAACATCCCCCAAAGACTCATGTGTTGAAGCCTTGGTTACCAATATAGCAGTATTCAGAGGTGGGGATTTGGGGAAATAGCCGAATCATGAGAGCTCTGGTCCACTGAAGGATTTGTATTTGATGGCATTATTGAGAGGTAGTAGAAACTGAAGAGTTGACTGGGCCTAGTTGTAGGAAGTAGGTCACTGAGAGCATGCCCTGAAAGGAGGGTACAGTTGTCCCCGGCTCCTTCCTCACTTTTCCTCCCTGCTTGATGGCTGCCACTTGGTGAGCAGCTTTCTCCTTCCATACGTTCACCATGATGTTTGTGCCTTCAAGTCAGCTGACCATGGATGGAAACCTCTGAAATAATGAGCCAAAATGAATCTTTCCTTCTCTAAATCTTCCTCATGTGTTTGTCATAGCAACAAGAAAGTATCTATAAACACTGCAAGCTACAGGCTTCCTAAGAAATAGTTTTGGGGAGATAAATATTTTAGAGATTTTGAATGTCAAATCTTCATTCTTACACTTCATTAGAAGTTTCACAGGTATAGAATTATGTGTTAGAAATCATTCTCTTATTTTTATAGACTTTACTTTGAATGTCCAGTATCACTGATGAGAAGTTTGTTGTCATTCTGATTCTGGATCCATGGATGGAATCATTCCCCAACCCCAAGATTGTTTTGGGTTTTTCTTTTTGGCCTTAGTAGAATGGAATTTGACACTGAGGTTTTAAGTGTAGGTCTATTTTTATCCATTGTTCAGATATTCAATGGCCCTTTTAGACTGGAAATACATGCTGTTGGATTGTTTCCTTGATAATTTCCTCTCCTTCATTTTCTATCTTTTCTACTATAATATTCTAGAAAAATATGTATACTTGATATATACCTGATATTATGTGACTATTCGCAGTCAAAAGGCAGGTTTACTAAAAGAATTGTATGAAATTATCCTCAGACTATGTATATCAGGAATATATGAAACAAATGAATTTTGTGTTTAGACTTGGGTCTCCTCCCCAAGATGTCTAATTAAGACTATGCAAATATTTCACAATCAAAAATAAAAAACCTTAAATCCAAAACACTTCTGCTAACAAACAGCTCAGGTAAGAGAAACTCAATCTGTATACTTTTTTTTGATGGTCATATTTTTTACCCTTGGATAAATGTTTAGGAGTAGAATTATGTGGTCATGAAGTAGACATATGCTTGAACGTTTTATGAAATTGCCTAAGAGTTCTCTGAAGTGATTTTATTACTTGACATTCCCACCAACAATGAATGAAAGACCCATCATCCTTGCCAGGATACACCCAGGGTCTAACACATGCTGGGCAAGTGTTCTGACACTGAGCTACCTTCCCAGCTCTTGTGAATCTAATGTATTAAAACATTCTTACATATGGCAAGTGGAATCTTCCTGTTTTAATTTTCATTTTCCTATCGATGAATGCTTTGTTAACTTTTTATTTGTGCTATTATTTGTTTATATTTCTTTTGTAAATATCTTTTCATCTTTAGCCCATTTAAAAATTGGATTGTCTTTTTAATTATCAGTTTTGGTAGATCTTTACACATCTTGAGCACAGGTCCTTTGCCATACATCATTACTATGAATATTTTTTCCAGTGGTTGCTTATTCATTTTTAATCAATATTTGGAAGAGCAGAAAGTTAGTTTGATATATTCCACTTACCAATTTTTTCTCATTTATCATCTGAGCTTTTTGCATCCCCTCTGAGAAATCTGAGGTCCACCTCCAGGCAGTGGAGATAGTCTTCTGTTTCCTTCCAAGAACGTTTATCACTCAGGTTTCCCATTTATGTTTTTGTTTCATCTCAAATCAGTTCTGAAGTCTGCAATTATATAGGCTTGTGACTTTTTCTTTTTCCCCCATAGTGATATCCAGCTTTTCTAGTGCCTTCCTGGAAGAAATACATGAAATTATCTTTATGAAATTCAAGCACATGTCCCAAAATTGAAGGACATGAGTTCATATGTATATATTTTAAAATCAGATTAGTTGCACACAGAAATTCTTAAAAATTAGCTGAGCATTGTGGTGTAAACCTGTAATCCCAGTGACTTAGAAGGCTGAGGCAGGAGGATCATAAGTTCAAAGATAGCCTTAGCAATTTAGACCCTATCTTAAAATTTAAAAAGGGGGAGAGGGGGCTGGAAATGCAGCTCAGTGGTAAACTGTCCCCAGGTTTAGTCCCCAGTACCCAAAAAGAAAAAAGGAAACTCTTAAAACTTTGTTTGCATTTGTATTGTCACAGATTACTTTGGAGAGAATCAATTTCGTCCATCATATTGCATTCAATAATGTTG